TACAACACAACCCCCCCCCCCTCTTAGTGTAATGTTATTGATTCGTTTGAGAATGTGTAAAAGGGAAAGGAAGATGTGTCGGCTGTCACAATAGACTGCGCTCTTATCTCAGGTGGGGTAGTGCCTGGGGTAGCGCCCTCCCACCCCAAGTAATCAAAGGGATCGGACTAACCGTTACTCGCCGGTCATAGGTATCGGGACTCGGCGGAAATAATTGCTGGGTTCGGAGTAATTGCTACTCGTCGGAAGTAGTCATAGGTATCGCGACTCGGCAGAAATAATTGCTGGGGTCGGAGTAATTGCTACTCGCCGGAAGTAGTCATAGGTATCGCGACTCGGCGGAAATAATTGCTGGGGTCGGAGTAATTGCTACTCGCCGGAAATAATTGCAGGTGTTGGACTCGGACTAGCTGGGAGTAATTGCAAGGGTCGGACTAATTGCTACTCGCCGGAGGTCATTGCAAGGGTCGGGCTAACTGCTAGTCACTGCATATACAATCATAATACTGGGTACGGGTCGAAACCACTGGAAGAAATCATAGAGCCACTGGAAGAAATCACATCACTGGCTACTTTTTAAAAAGTAATTGGGTTCGGCGCCGATTCCTACGATTCCTAGCCTTTAATATTCGTTAATCGTGAATCTACGGTTACCGAAAAAACCCCAACAGGAATCGCCCACCTCGTTTGGCAAGCATCATTTTCCCCCTTCTCTATCCCAAAGCCGAGTCAATGATTTGACAACACACCCACGCACATTCACGACAGTCACCTTCTGTATCCGAAGAAGTCGACCTACTTATCAGCTGCGCGCAGTTTCCAGCAACACCCGCTGGATTCAGCGTAGAAGCTCCGCCCACATTCTGGTTGCTTACATTTGCTGGTGTGGTGCCTTTAGTTTATCCCTGCCGTGAGATTACCCCCACCCTTCTTTAACACACTAGTAAACATGAATTGTCCGCCATCGAAAGTCTGGAAAGACTGGAATGTGAACCCTGGGATGGCTCTGAAGAATAATGAATCAGTTTATTTTCCAAACCTACCACTCATCCCTTCCCTAAATCTTAAGCATCCCGATTTTGATCGCGTGTACCCCGATTTTTTTGTGGGTTTTTTGTTTTGTTTTTTTGTTCCGTCTGTTGTGCCGGAATTTTCCAAAGTGTTACTCTGCCTTCTTTTGTCGTGGGAAGCACTCTTTAATCTTTTTGTCAGCGGAAACTCGGAGCACTATTTTCCGAAATGTATATGTCGAATTTAATAGTTGACTCACCAAAAGTTGTGTTAGATCTTTGCTCACACCTGTTATTTCAAGTATAAAGGAAGTAGTATTGATTTGGCATTCCGACCTAAGACATTCTCAAGACAAGATCTACTTTCGCGAAAACAAACTGTGTCCGAGTTCTGGCTAGTCAAGCCCTTCACCAAGACTCGCCAATAAAACTGTTTCAATCGCGCGTTAGCACCACGTGACAGGACTTCGGCTTGTGAGTTCCGCGTGTGTCGGGGACCGTCGTTGACGGGGTCAATTTAAGTTCATGCTCATTGGTTGAAGCGTCTTTCGGGACTTATCTGAGGGGGGAGGCGTGTAAAACACGTGGACTAGGAAACCTTGACATGATACTTCGGGATAAAAAAATAAAGAATTATAAAACACACACAGGCGCGCGCACGCTCGCACTCACACACACACACACACACACACACACACACTCACACACGCACACACACACACACACACACACACGCACACTCACATGTGTGCGCGCGGGCATACATACACATACACCACACACTCGTGCTCGCGCAGAGGGAATATGCATGGATATAATATGGACACCCCTGGAAATTTTTCAAGTCAGTTTGGCAGTGACCTAGGTGATTTGCCGTTGATCCCAATTTTCTTTGAACATCAAGTCATATTTTTTTTTCCCCACTGAGATCCTGACTTTTGGATTTCATACCATGGCAGGTCTATTATTCTTGGTGTATATAGTGTAGTCGGAATTGGCCCCTATTGGTTTGTCAACTTTATTTTATTTTTGATAGACGACCCAACAGCTCAACCACCACCACTCTTCCTCCCTCCGAATGGACACAACTCTAATTCTAGTCTATATTACTCATTTATTTCTTAAATTAATTAAAATCATTAGCATTCAATCATAGTCATGGTCACTCTATGTATGTGTGTCTGTGTGAATGTGCGTGTGAGTTAAATGTTTACAAGGGCAAAAAATCTTACTATAAAATTATGAGATATTGACTTTTACCCCTTAAGTTTCTAAAACAAGGGTTTAAATACCCCTTAAGATAGTAAACCAAAGGGTTATATATATATATATATATATATATATATATATATATATATATATATATATATATATATATATATATATATATATATATAAAAAAAAGGGTTTTTAATTAAAAGATAAATTGCTTTTAGATTCTGCAACCTGGGGAGATCTTTATTGGATCAGATTTCACATTTTACCCGTTTGTCCTTTAAAATTCTTACTGAGATTCGTAGACAAAGGTCTCACACCCTGAACTTGAAAAGCATGAGACAAGGATTATTGATATGGATCTGACTGTAGCCTCTTTCCATTCTTTGTTGATATTCCTCATAATGTTTTTTTGTTCATTGCAGACATCTGGAAGGGGTCGTCCCCCAAAGACAAAGATAGTGAAAAAGGAGTTAGCACTAGAGGAGACGACAAGTATAACACCTGGTAAAGTTTTGTCAATATTTTTCTAAGTTACTTGAAAGCTTGTTCCGAGGTTTTGTTGATCACATAGAAATTTAAAGAAAAGAAAAGACTGTTATACCAAAAGAAATGAAGTGATGAAGTGCAAATCAATAAATGTATTCAAGCATCTTGGGGATTTTTCAGTTTTCAAGTTAAACTTAAACATGCAAATAAAATTATGTCAGTTTCAATTGGTTCAAAGAGATTTTTGTGGTAACAAGTCAAAAAAGTTCCCCCCTCCCCATTTCATATGAATGTAACGAATTGAGCTTCATGAAAGACAGTTGGTCAATGGTAAAGTTAAAATGGCTGTGTGTACTGTTATTTCTTAAAGGAGGTGCAATCCTTCCTTTTGTCTTTGACTTTGATGCCTATGATGTGTATAGTGTGACACCTAAATATTTTCCGAAGAATAGAAGTTCATTTTATTTTTGGCATGTCTATTGCAGCTTACCCTGCTGGTGGAGTGCAACCATCTGTGGAGATAGCCAAGTGCATCAGCTATCAGAAATTCAGATATAGTGGGGAGAACAGACCTGGAAAAAAGTATCAGGAGAAGGAATTCATGACACTCAGGGTGAGTTACACATGACTTTTGTAGTTTTTTTGCTTTCATGATTTTTTTAAACTTTGTAACAATCATCTAGATAAAACATGTACATTGTACACAAATTCTGTCATAGAATTGATGAGGAAAGAGGAAAGATCAAACTTGAATGCAGAATGATATAAAGGGAGGAGTGAGTCTTCGAGTTGGGGAAGTAAAGGCGGAGTGGAAAGGAACTGGCAACCCTACCACAATATGCCGAAGGCCCAGGAAGTTGTCTCACTAACAAGGCAATCTCCAATGTCTGGGTCGGATGCGGGAATAACTTTACTTTAATGGTGACTAGTTGAATTGTTTTTATGATGTTGAAGTAATATATATATATATTGTAATTGTAGGACTTTTTTCAGGGGGGCTAGATTTGTTATTTTTAAATAATATTTTCGAGAGCTGAATACTTTTGTTGGCTGCTGTACATGGCACTTGTCGATATGTTTCTTCATCTTTTCCCATGTGTGCAGACAGTTATAATTTGTATCTTTGCCTTCATATTTTGCAATGGCTTGGCCGTATGATGTTTATATTTGGTATTCCTTTTGATATGAACAGCTGAACCACCTCTCAGACAAAGTTGTACGCATTGTCATCATTTGCACGGATGCTGAGAACAAAGAGTTGATTCATCCAAATGGATTGGTGGGCAAGGACTGCCATGACGGCATCTATGATAAAGAGTATGCGATCACAAAAGCACAGTACAATGTCAAGTGAGTGAAATGGTTTCTGTCAAATAGAATGTAACTGAGAAATATTTTTAAGGACCCCCGGGCGAGTGTTGAGTTCCTGCGTGCTGTCAGCATCGCTGACCATTTATGACGCCACAGTGCCAGAAGAAAGAGAGAGAGAGAATTGAGAAATATATATCTTTTTATAAAATGCTTTGTTTTTTTGTTTGTTTTGGCTTGAGAAAGAGGGATAAAATTTAAGACAAAGACTCGTGTACATGCTGCAACATGATTTTACTGACTGATATAGCTTTTCTTGTAATTTGTGAGACATGTTTTTTCCCTATTTGCCGTTTATTTGCATGTTTCATACTTCTCTGCTTGGGATTTTTGTTTGCCAGAGGAAGTTCTGGGATGTACCTGATATATTTAATGAATGTATTTCTTTCTTTTTTTTAAAGAATTCCATATCTGAGAACAGAGCGTATCAAGACAAAAAAAAATGAGCACGAAAAGATCAAGTCGGTTCTTCATGATCGAGCTTTGCATCTTCCGACGCCATACAGAGGTATAATAAATGGATTAAATTATATTGTTTCATGTTTAATTATTCTGTCTCCTTTTTTGGGATATGAAAAATAAATTGAAATTTTTAAAAAAAATGTACGGGGGGAGGGAGGAAGGAAGGAAGGGGAGATAGGTCGAAAGAGCTACCTCTCTTTGCAATCATTGGATTCTCATGATTGTTTTTATTGCTAAGAAGGAGGGGAAATTGTTCAGGTTTGCTTTATTTTGTCTTAATTTATGTTCCTTATACAGATGCCAAATGAAAAGTCTATGTCTTTAACAATATTGTTGTATGTATCAATGTTTAAGAGTTGTGGCACTCTTAATTATTGAAACTTCTTTTACTTCTTTTTCTCCCATTCTTTTTTATATTTATATTTGTTTTGTAATTTACAAGTAAAGTGTGTAAAGGTTCTTGTCTTCACTTGGATGTGTCTAATAACACCAACATGCTTTAGGGATGAAGATCTTGAACATTTAGACTGCTCAATCAACAACAGCCATGATATAGACAGTATCAATTTTTTGAAATATTTCAGAACGATGTCTGTCTCAGTGCACAGACAAATACACAGCAACTCGCAAGTTTGATACCACCAAGGTTTGCCTGGGTGTGATTGTGACAGTACTGAGCCACCAGGGTCACTTCAATGGCTCTCTCCACGCCATCAGCCATGTTGTGAGAAATGCCAGTGAGTTGCTTAGTCTTTGCACAGAGTTGTGTGATGCGGTTTATAGTATTCATAGAGTGCTTTCAATACTTCCTTCAGGGTCCCTCTACTGTAGTACTTCTTTCCTTTTCTTTACAGAATGATTGTATGTTGTGTTTCTGAAAGTGTTGGAGAAATTGAATGAGAGGGTCAAAGAGGGGAAATGCAAATCAGATATCACCCTCAAGTGATATCTCTGACCTGTTTTTCTTTTTTGCAACAGCTATCTTGAGATGTTAACTTGAAATAAAAATACAACAGGCTAACAGTTCAGGCTGCCATTTAAATTTCTCTTTAATCATTTTGTTTTAGATTTTTGTCAACTTCTTAAAGTGCACTGAACCATTACCCGCCGCGGCGGTGCCACTGACTAAAGTGTCTTTAGGCCATTCCCAAAGGGGGGACATTTCTCGTTCTAGTGCACAGTAGAATTGTAAATGGGCTGATCTAACAATGTCATGCTCATGACTGTGCCTGAATTACAACAGGGAACTGCTGCTTTTTCATTCCTAATCCTTACTATTGTCATTTTCCTCTACTTCTTTTGTATGTTCGTCACACTTTTGTGACCCGCTATTTCCGGGGTTCCTTGATATTCGAAGCAGACTTTGTGCTGCTGAAGCTAGAGAGGTGAGCAGAGTAAGTCTGATTCCCTGTAAGGACTTCTCTGTTGACATCCACCCCTTGGCGCTCATTTGACCTTATGCAGTTGCGAGCGCCGTAAAACCTCTACACCCCCCCCCCCAAACTGAACCTTTGATGTTTGCATGGAAAAGGGATCAAGTTAGGCATATTGTCCAGATAAAACACTTTTGAAAAATCATGGGTGGTGGTCTTCACGTATAATGCAAAATGCAAGAAGAATGGCCAATTGAATGTGCGAGTCCAGCAGGATGACTGATTCTCTCTGTTTGAGGTTTTAGAGCATTGTTATGGAAATCTGAATACGATTTTTTACTGGTGTAGAGAAATGTGTTTGGTAAATGTTAAAGATGTTCTTTGTTACTATTTCAGGTGAGAAGACTATCCTTGGTATTCATAAACTGAGCCAGGAATCTGTGCAGTCAGGCACTGGTGCTGAAATTGATATTTTCACCACTGAGGATGGACCTGCTATTGAACCAGGTTAGTGGAGTTCTATTGATATATGTTGGGCACCGTAGTGCTTGATTTACTAGTGGCACATGTAGTCAATATAAAAATTATTGATTGTACATTGTTATCTCTTTTTAAGTCAAGCTCCCTCGAAAGGGCTTTGGTTTTGAATTTATTTTTTGTAGAAAGATTTCACATGTGTAAGTGTAGTGAAAATTGTTCAGGAATAATTGCATGTGTGCAATTTGCTATTGGTGTTCATCAAACAATTGCAGGGTTTGTGTCCTGTGGGTCAGTACCATGTTGCAGAAGGTTGAGGTCTTTTTAAAGATTTTCCTTTGATTATTAGTTTGTTTTTTATAATTGCCTTTGTCCAACGTAAAGTACTCTGAGGTATATGAATACTTATGAAGGCAAAATGTTACAGAATGATACTTTCTTTCAAAGGCCTTTCACACTGTCCCTAAGTCTTATGTTATTCATAATGTTGCTCCTCATATTCATGTCTGTCTGTTTTCCATCAAGGTAATTCCCGTTTCCATTTACTTCACAAAATTCCGCAAATATACTTTTTGTTTCCTAGGAAAATGTTTTGTATTTGTCTCCTGTAACCTGGAGCATGGGGAGTCCTGGAGCTCTGAGAAATTTATCCCTGATAAAGAGGACATATTGTACAAGAGGGTGATCAGGTACCCTGTGCCAGTTTTTGAGCCTTACCAACACTTACCGAGTCCCATGGAGGCAATTCTTCACTTAGAGTGCCCTCAGAGCAACCAGTACTGTACCTGTCCACTGACCTTCCTCCCACCGCAAGGTGAGTAGAGAAATAATTCCCCTTATGCAGGCTTTTTTTTCTTTTTACCGTCGGCTAGTAGAGCTTTATTGATATTCCTTTTTAGCCAAGAATTTGAGGGTATAAAAAAATTGAGATTCACTTCATATTGATAAAGCAATGATTTTGAGAGAGCTGTTTTCAATAAATTTTTTGGTCCTTTTTTTTATTTTAAAGGAATACATCGTCGGCCTGGTGATAAAACCGACTAACCCACAAAATGTCCAAAAAAATTTTGTTGGCCCTATCGATAGCAAATTGTCCATTTCATATGCTCACTCATAGTCAGATCTAAATTTTGTCTAGAAATGTCTTTAAAACATTAGAAATAAAACCGTATAACTCGGCATCCATCGGATTTTAGCCTGTTGTTTCCGACTATCTCACCTGCGAGGGAGGGAATGAGGGTTGACTGTTTTTGTCGCGCTAACAATGAGGGGCCACGTGCTACGTTACCGACTAACCCCGGCTTCGACTCGTCTCCGGACTTCGTTTGATAGTCCAGAATTCTCTCACATAACCGTGTGAGCTCTTCAAAAGGGAAATTTGTGTAATATTTCTTGTTGGTTTAATTTGGGAGTTATATAGATCTGGTTGTTCCCTCTTTTTTCTTCGTTTTAATGCTGCTGATAATGTTATTAATGACTAAAACTCCCCACTGTTCCCACAGAACTGTTTATCTCGTTACAAGACAATGCCGGTATTTCAAACGCATATTCATGGATTTTGTTTTATAAATATAAAACTATTTTTTCTTCCCCCGTGTTCTTCTTTGTCTTAGTACTTGAAAGTTATCGAATTATGAAGGCATTTCCCCTTATTCGGACTACTGTCTCTTCTCCTTATTTTTCCCATCGCAATTGAATGGATGAAGTCGGTAGCTTTTCATTATTTACTAACGCACTCAGAAAAAAAATGTGGGACCTGTCCAGCACACTATCTGCCTCCAACGATCGTTGTTTTTTAAAGTGCTTTTTCTTTTTTTTTTTTCATTTGCAGTGTTTATTGCAGTCATTACCTTCTGAAACATCTTTCTACTTTCTTTGAAAGTTCATTTCGTTTGTGTTTTGTGTAGATTATTTTCTCAGTGTCATAACATAATGCTTTATCTTTATATCAAGCCTGAACTTAAATAACACTATAACATTCAATAAGATGATGCCACGCTTGCTGCGTCACCTCTGACCCTCAGCGCAGTGGAAAGTGATCAACGTGACCAGGCTAATGTCACATCAGCTGATAATACAACAGTTAATTCACCTTTGATCTCTGCGAAAAGGACAAGGCATGAAAACGATTGGAAGGGTAACAAAAGGAAGAGGTTGAAAGAACTGGGGATGCCTCTACACATGTCAAGGCAAGAAGCGAGCAGGGTGTGAATTTGACGTCATTTGCAGTTGTAAACTGGTTGGTACAAAATGCAATAACATCACTGGTCACTCTCTTGGAAAGAAAAGAGAGCCTACGTATATGCCATGATAAACAGGATAGACAAAAAGAGATCTTACACAGCAAGTGAAAACCCAAGGAGAAATTACACCATTCAATACTACTGAAAAGAGTCAATGGTCAAAGTTTGTAAAACAATCTACATGAACACCACAGGCCTGACCCACTGGTTTATTTAAAGTGTCTTCTCCGAAAAAAACCCCAAGAGGTCCCCCTCCCCCCAGAACTCACCACGCCCACCATGAGAGAGCCAAGGATGACAAGTTGTTCCATAAAGAGGAATTTTTTGACAAATTTTCTAAGATATCCTCCTGTTTACAGATGACAATCCAGAAAACGTCGATCTGCATCAAGTATACATGGAGAACTTTGCAGAGAGGGTGAAAGCCACATTGAGCTATCAAGTGTTCTGCCAAAAGCTAAAGAAAAACAATTTGGGATTACTTTAAACCAAGAAAGACCAGTGCGACATTTGCACCAGCTTCGAATCTGGAAACCTCACAGAAACGGAATACACAGCTCATCAAATATGAATATGAGGAAAGCTGCAGCTAGACCAGAAAAGGAGAAGGACAGGGAGGCTGTACTGAACCCAGAGAACAAAGTGTGTGTTCTTTGTGTGGAGATCCATCACTAAAGACATCCACCTTATATTATACAACAAAACTGGCTGTACACTATTTTACGATTTAGGATTTTGCCACCAGAGACGCCAGATGATATGTCTGGTATGAAAGTGAAGTTGGTCTGAGCTTCAAGAGTTTTCATCATGTCTGACTCACTGATATTGCAAGTGACTGACTCCAACCACTTCATCATCTGCAGTGATTGATGCAACTACTAAAACAGAAATGCCACCCTGGTGAGTGCAGTGGCCTCGCTGGCCTAAGAGCTTGACATCACAGTTGAGCAGAAATTCTCACCAAGGGCCATACCCAAATGGAGGTGGATCCAGTCCGTGGCAGTATTGAGCGATCGCTCCAAAACGCACTGATGTACATCCCAATGGATTACGTGAACATCATGCTCCAAGCCAGATGCATCCCCAGTCCCTATGAAGTTATGTACCTGGGCCACAGCATTTTCAAAGATTTCGCAAAGGTCGTCCAGGGTGAAAAGCAGACACATCAAAGTACACTCCATACTTTAAAATTCAGTACAAGCTGAACTTTGATGATGGATGGCAGGCGCTGCAAGGACCAAGAAAGCTGAACACCCAATGTACGACGGTTACTGCTGGACCTCTCTGCAAAGACAGATTGAAGATAACTGCCAACCAGTAAAAACATCTACAGGAGTTGAAAGCCGTTGTACAACGATGCTACCACAATTACCGTGAAAATTTGCCTCAGTAAGAAGTTTTGAAAGCGATCAAGTCAAATTCGATTATTGTAGAGTCTTTCAAAACAATGGTAACATTTGTCGTATTGCCTTGTTATTGCAATAGGAGACAGAGTGAGACAGACATGCTCTTCTATTGTCGAGAAAACTCAGTAAAGTAGTAGTTGTCAAGCCACGCACCTTGAAGAAAGTTAGTGCATTCTTTGATACTTACAAAGTCTTTTTGCATAATAATAATATATTATTATGTAACCAACTTTACCCAAACCATTGCTGAGGTAGCAGAGCTTTTGTGTGGCTTTCTGCTTTCATTTCTTTCTTAGTATTACTTTTTTCCAGGCCATTGGAAGGCCACCCAGTGCCAATAGTATCGTGTCAGACACTGTCATAAATTCTAAAGGCCTGCTGATGCTGCTGCTACTAGTGTTGTTTTTGTTGTTGTTGCTGTAGCTGCTCTCCCTTACTCTTCGAACCTCCTGTTCTTCTACTTGAAATGTAATTGATATACCCATTGTTGTGTTCTGCTTTTTCTACTTCTATTAAATGTTCAACTTTGTGACTGCTGTCTTGCCCGAATTGATTCCGTAGCACTGAAATGGCAGCAGCTGAGAGTATGTTGGTAGCAATAATATCGTCCTCCTCCTCTTCCTTCTTCTTCTTCTTCTTACTCGTCCTCCTCCTCCTTTTTTCTCCTTATCCTCCTCCCCCTCCTCCTCCTCCTCCTCCTCCTCCTCCTCCTTCTTCTTCTTATTCTTCTACGAAAGATCTCAACGATTGTAACAACTGATCAAATACGTTACCGTCAAGTGTGGCTTGGCTGCCCTCAACCAAACTCAAGGCCCGCAGTGGCTTCCTGATAAAACCGGCCAACCCACAAAATTGAGGGTTGGTCGGTTTTATCCAGAAAAATTTGAGCGACATAACCGTCTAACCCACGCGGTTTCATTAAAAGCAATTTTTTAAGGAAAAAAATGTCAACACTTTTTCGGTAAAGTGTTTTTATAGGTGTTTAAAGCATTGATTTATCGTTAGACGCCTTTGTTTTGAAATAAAACAGTTTTTTTCCTTCTGTAAAATTTACCTCGCTGGGAGTCGGTTTTATCACAAGGCCGACGACATATCAAATGGTTAGAATTTATCAAAGCTAGACGTGTATCTATTTCAGTAAGTTTTGAAAAAGAATGCAGAACTAGTAAATACTATAGGAGAGAGTTTTAAAGGAAAATAGTTGTGTCATGAAATTGTAATGTTAAGCAATTTGAACGGTTTGATATTAGAAAATGAAGAGTCATGAATAGATTGCTCAGCTAAGTGTGTACATTGGGATAGCATATAACTACTTTGCTGGACATTTTTTCTTCAGTGGTGTTCAAGGTGTATGTGTCTGCATATGAATCTCTTTCCAGCAGTGGTTGAGATAGTGAGCAATATAATTTGTATGATGGCTCATGTTGTGTTTGTTTACAGGGATGGTGGTGATAGATGAAAGAGGTTATTCATTGAAACGTACATATCCGGAACATGAGGACATAAAGCCTTGCCCCAAGAGACGTGAGTGTCATACTGATTTTGCCTTTGATAATGCTCGACCAATGTTTGTGTGTCTGTGTCTGTGTGTGTGTGTGTGTTTGTTTGTTTGTGAATGAAAAGTACATCTTTTTGTAAGAGGTCCTATTATCTTGGCTTAAATAGTTGCAGTAATGAAAAACAGTGGAAAAACCAAACATAAATTTAATTGGAAAACTGAAGGGTTTCCATTAAATAAGATCAAACGGGATCCATTGTGAATATCAAAAAAGAGATGTAATCTTTGATATGTAACCCTTGGCTTCTCATATTATCCTCCCATAAATTTTATTTTCAATTCTTGTTCTTGGTGTGGCGACGGACTTCTCAATATCTATTAGCACAACTGGTTTTGCCTCTTTTCTTTATTTACTCCATTTATCCTACTTACTAGAATCATGCTGTGGTGGTTGATGAGCACTCTGGTTTGCTCTGCTCCCCCCTGCTACTTTTGTCATAGTCTCCACTCAGGTGAAATCACGTTGACTGTAGTGGACTCCAAATCCAAGAGGAGACACTACAAACTGTAAATAACTTCTCTCCAGGGCCTTACAGAGTGATTTACTTTCTCCCCTGTCTTACCTATATGTGCTTAGATTGTGCAAAATTAAGGTCTCAGATACTCAGAGTTTGTGCAATGGCACTAGCTTTAAAAGTATTGACCCTGCTCTTTGGGGGAGGGAGAAAGATGTACATTGCTAAAATCAGTTACTTCTCACAGTCTATGTCTTGAGAATACAGCCTGTTGTTTTACTTCTGTTTTTAAGACTGATTTAAAGGGAGGTGGGAGTTTAGTAAGTAGGGTGCTGTTTTGTCTGTGAGGGGCAAATAGTTCACCGAGATGCCAATGACAAGTACAAAGCAGGAAAAAATAATCCCCGCCCCAAATCTCTAAACACACACACACACGCACACGCACACGCACACGCACACGCACACGCATGCACGCATGCACGCACACGCACACGCACGCACGCACGCACGCACGCACGCACACACACACACACACAC